GGGTGCCAAAGCCAGGAGGACAACAACACGGCCTCCCCTTGGGTCTCTGGCCACCTGGGGGCGAGTGATATGAAATAAGCATCTGGGATAAGGGAGGCCACCAGGCCTGACCTCCCTGGGGCCTCCGCCTCCCCTGCCCCTCCCCCATGCGAGCCAGAGGCCCCAGGGTTGACTTCCGGCTCTTCTGCCCACAGGCCACTCCTGTCCCCTGCTCTCTACAACTGCTTTAGCGCCTCCATTTGCTTCAGCCCCCCTCGCCCGGTGCTTCCCATGTCCCATAATGACGCTAATGGACACAAGAGAACAGGGGCTCCTGTTGAGCAGCCCCCAGCTTCCGCCCGGCCCACCGGCCTGACCTATTGCTGCTACTGCTGCTGCTGGGAATCCTGGTGCATGCTGGGAATCCAAGTGCATGCTGGGACTCCTGTCAGTTCCTCCATGCATTTTGGTTTTGCTTGGAACAGTTCCGCCCTTGGAACTGTTGGTGTCTAATCTGTGGTGCGAGCTCCCTGAGATGAAGTTACAAACTCCGCGGGAGCAGAGAGACGCCTGAGGACCTGAGATTTTCAGGCCACCCACTGCCCAAACCCAACTCTGGTCCAGCAGATGTCTACTATGTACCAGCTAGCGAAAAGGAACCATAAGAAAGTGCTTCTGCCTTCTTAAGAGGGGATGGACTTTAAGGTCTACTCTGCTATCCTGAGAGGCAAGAACTAATCCTGGAATGTATTTAGGACGCTGATGACGTGGACACCACCCACAGACATGTCGGGTCCTAAAGGTTGTATGAACACAGCTGCATACACCAAGGCTTAGCCATATGTCATGATGCCCCATGGGCCAGTGACACCCATTCATTGCAGAATCTTATTGATCTGGGAAGAAGAGCTTCACAATACCTTTTATCATGTTCCCAGGGGAAGGTACCCAGAGAAAACCAGCAGGAGCCTTTGTATAAATACGAAGAGAGTAAGAGATCCCCAGGTTTCTGGCTTCTCAGAAAAAGGCAGAAAGACCGGATTAGGAGATTCGCTTCTCACCTTGGCTGATGGATGAAAATTGAGGCCAATGATTTACCAATTCCAGTCCCACAAAGAAGATGGATCAGAGAGAACATCTTGGGCCAGAAGAACAGAAGGCAGAGGCAGAGTCTGCCTGGGAAGAAGAGGTTGATGGGGACTGGCCTGTACCCCAGGGTGGTGGCTAGCCACTTACTAAGTGGCTCACCAGCTTCAGATATTAGTCCCAACTGGCTGGAATGGAACCTGTCCGGAAATTGTGACTCACTGGAGATGTCCACGTTCTAAGGCCCTAAGCTGGAAGGAACATGGGAAAATGTTGGGCTGGTTTCTCTTCCTCCCCCGAAGAGAATGAAGCTGGCTTCATCTTTATAAGGTATTCTAGACTCTGATGTACTGAAGACAAAGGTGTCTGTGACTCCCAAAGATCGAATGAGTCTCATGCGGATATCCCATGCTACCATTCTCTCATGGTTCTGTACTCTCCAGACCACCTCTGGCTTGTTCATGCCTTGCTCTCTTGCCTCGGTTCATAGCTACAGAGGAAGATAAGAAAAGAAAGAGCTCTAACAAACTTCAGGCACTTGACTTCCAGTGTCCTTGCTCACCAGCGTCATGTTCAGAGCCAGTTCAGACCCCAGGGCCTCTTGAAATATTCACAAGAGAAGGCATCTTGGAGGAGCTACATGCTCACTCTTCCAACGGGCGTTTGCCTTCAGAAGCACCAGATCTCTTCACCCACAGGGAAACCTGGCTCCCGGTGCTCCAAGCTTGCCAGTCAAGAATCACACACATCCAAGAAAACCCTTGTTGGATCTTTGGCTCAGCACTCCAATATGGTGGCGGCAGCAGCAGCAGCAACAGCTCTTAGGAAGTCCAGCCACCCCACCTCTTAGGAAGAGCAGCAGGGCTGGCCACCCATAAAGTACCTGCAATGCTTGCAAAGCTGGAGTTCCTGGCAAGAGTCCTAATGGTGGCCCTTGGTTTCTTGCAGACATTGATGAGTGCCTCTCAAGTCCTTGTCTGAATGGAGCCACCTGCGTGGACGCCATCGACTCTTTCACATGCTTATGCCTTCCCAGCTACCGAGGGGACCTGTGTGAGATTGGTACGGCCGTATCGGCTTCAGCTAATGTTACTAACTGCTGCACCCCCTCCTCCTCCATCACCCTTCCTTCTAACCACAGGCTCTTGGCCCTGGTTGGGGCCCGCACGGTCCAGCCAGCCAGCCATTTCAGGGCCCACCAGTGAGAAGTCTGCCTCACTCACTCCCACTCTTCTTGCCCGTCCTTGTGGAAACGCTCCTCTGGGGCACTGGCTGATCTGACCACAGGAGAGACATGCAGGCCGGGCCAGCCTGCACTTTGGAAGGTGGGGCCCTAGGGGATCTTTAAAACACTAACCTTCGTCAGGGCTTCCAGACCCTCTGATGCCACCCCGAGGTTGGTGCATGCATCAGACTGAAGAGGACAGAGCTGATCCCGTGCATTTGTCTGGAAGGAAGCTATGGGTGGGAGTAATCGGTTCTCTCTCCAGAGGACACCACAGATCTTCCAGCTGCTATATTACCCATGGGACCTTTGTGGCCCCTCCATGGCCTGGGAAGCCACCAGGCCACACTGACCACGCTACCTCTTTCTTCTCTGGCAAGAGCTCTGTTTTGTCTGCCTGAGAGCTCCCATGTCACCGGCATGACATGCATGAGCAGGGACAGCTGCCATGTCAGTGCCACTCTGGCCCGTGCTTCCTCTTCCCCGCCCTTGTGCAAGTCAAAAGCCGGGCCAGGGAGAACAGAGCCTCACTACAAGGGATGGGGGCTGAGTTTCCCATTTGGGGCCTTGCCAATCCCTTTGCTTCTGCACCCAGGCCAGGCTCAGCTGGGGGAGCTGTGTGCCAGGAACTTGTCGGGGTCAGCTGGAGCCCCCCAACTTTCTCACTCTGGTGCTCCTAGTCTCCCCCCCGCGCCATCCTTCTGGGCCTCAGGGCCATCCCAACTCAGAAAGAGGGAGATGGGGCTTGTACTTACTAGTAGCAATAACCCATGCAGACCTAGAAGCATGCAGGGGTTCAAAACCATTTTCTATGATCTCTCAAGTTGGATATCCCAGAAACTTCCAGAAAGCAGATGAAGCTCCTGGGAAGTCTCCCTTTGGTCCTAAGCAGGGTGGGGAGGTAGTTTGGGATTGCATGTTCCTTCGAGGCACCGCCAAGATTACAGACTGGTGGATGAACTTAAGTCTTCTGGAAGAAAAGGCCTGGACCCTTTTCCTTCCCTGCAGCCTCTAACCTTCCACCTCCACCCCAAGACACCAAGAGATTAGGCATGGGGTCTTGGCTGGGGGGAAAATGGAGGGTTATAGGATTCTCTCCTCAGGATGCCAAAATATTTGCCACAGGGGAGAAGTGTCTGGCCTGTTTGCACAGACAACAGCTCTTGGATGCCAGACGAGGAAAGGACGTGCTCTGCCCAGCATGGAGACAGGCGGAGATGGTGCTGGCGCCGGCCAGTTGGGCGCTGGGCCAGGTCGCCCAGCTAAGCAAAGCGAGGCTCCATCTCTTCCCCCCATTTCAGTCCATTGCGTGCTTCACGGCTTGGCTCCGGGCCCGCTGCGCCATCCCGCCTTGCTGGAATTCTGTTCATACTTCCCCAGAGCCTCCATCCTGCATGCCCTGGCCCCTCCCAGAGCTGTTACGCCCCCCACGTTTGCCTGCTCAGCCCAGCCGTCAGCACTGTCAGCCCTGGAATGATGTCTCTGGCCTCCTCGGAGGCCTTGCCACCTTCTTTCCAGACCTTTGCCTTGCTCCTTGGAGGAGGCATTGGCTGCAGGGGACCAGCGGCCTCCCCCTCAGCCCTCCTGCTGCTCCGCCTCTTCTCAGGCTGCTGGCCTCCGCATGTCCTCTGTGTCTGCCTTCCCCGAGTGTCTCTCTTCCACGCCTTCAGGCTAAGCCTCCTCCCGGTCAGGTACTGGTCCTCCCATCCTGGGTCAGCCAGACTCTGGGTAGCACCCAGTAAGGGAGGCTCCATACAGCCTGCAGGGTTCACGGCCCTGCACTCAGGCCCCCAGGCCCGAGGAGCAGCCCTTCACCTGGGCGGCCCCAGGGGAAGGAGGAAGAGAGGGTCTTGGAATCCCCTCTGTCCAGTGGTGTGCTGGCTGATGGTTAATAACCGGCTCCTAGAGAGGAAGGGGGAGCCCTGATGTGTGGAGTCTGCCGATCTCTGAGGAATTTACAGCTACCAGCGTGATGTCCCTGAAGGCTGAGACGGGAAGATGCGTTCATAATGGCTCTCCCAAGCCTGAAGGAGCCAGCTCCGGCCCCTGCCTCTGGCTGTCCCTCCGGGCTGCTCCAGGAGCTCCAAACCAGTGCCTTCTCCTGAACTCAGAACCCATTGCCCATATAGGTTTGTGAGGAGAGAAGCTCCTCCCTCTTCTCATCTGCCACCAAGAAATTAAATAAACAGCCGAGGCCCCTGGGTCATGGACCCCCGGTTGGCTGCCTTGTCCTCCAAGCGGCAGATATCCTGCGCCCAGCCAGAGCCAGCTCAGATCGACAGATGTAGGGCTCTGAGTCTTCTGTAGACCCAGAGCAGTCTTATTTCTGCTCCTCTATGCCTACCCGAAGTGCCATCTCATGCCCCCAGCGCGGCCTGCTGTGACCCCCTTCACACGCCCCGCTCAACTCCCTCCCTGCCTCCCCACCTTAACCTCCACACCTCCCACCTTCCACCCTGCAGAGCAGGAGAAAAACTTGGGGGGGCCCGACATCAGGGAAAGAAAGGGTGGGAGTCTGCCCAGAGGCTCTGGGGCTCCAGGGCCAGGCCTTCCTGGCTCCCAACTTGAGCCCCATCTAGATGGGCCTCTCCCTTCAAGGATGGACGTGGAAGGTGGGGTGAATGTAGGCGGCTGGCGTACAACTGGCCGCACCGGACACCCCCAGGTGGCCTCGGGGCCTCTCTCTTCAAGCCCCTGACCTGTGTTGCAGACCAAGAGCTGTGTGAGGAGGGCTGGACCAAGTTCCAGGGTCACTGTTACCGCTACTTTCCCGACCGCGAGAGCTGGGTGGATGCCGAGAGCCGGTGTCGGGCTGAGCAGTCACACCTGAGCAGCATCGTCACCCCCGAGGAGCAGGAGTTTGTCAACAGTGAGTGCCGGGGTGGGGGGGCCTGCAGGGCCCGCAGGGGTGGAGGGCAGGGAGGGAAGGAAGGGGGTTGCCGCTGGGGCTGCACCCCAAAGCCCCGGACTAACCCTGTGGCTATTGCCAGTCCATGCCAGCTTGGGGTGGTGGTCTGCACGTGCGTGCGCTGAGACCCTTGTCAGGGCGGCAGAAGCAGGTGGCTTGCTCCTAGGGGCCCACCCACCTCCTGCCCCTCCCCCATCCCCTCTGGCTCTGCGAGCTCGAGTTCTCGGGGTGTCCAGCGCCCTGCCCAACATCCACGTCTCTCTCTAGACAACGCCCAAGACTACCAGTGGATCGGCCTGAATGACAGGACCATCGAAGGGGACTTCCGCTGGTCAGACGGACACTCCTTGGTGAGTTCCGCCGCCCAGAGTCGGGGAAGGCACACACCTACTGAGCAGCAGCTGGGCTGGGAGCCCTAGGGGCTGGGACTGTGTCTCCATCCTCTCTGCCAGGGCCGGGCGGGTCGAGTGAACAACCGGCATGAACAGGGGGGTGAGGAAGACACTGATGGAATGCAGGCACACCATCAGAAGGGGTCCGTGGAGGCTTTCGAGGGCTTCCTTGCCCACAGAGGACTCGGTCTACTCCAGGAGGCAGGCCGACAGAAAGCGGCATAGATGCCAAGGGACATAGTAAATGCTGCAGGTCAGCGGAGGAAGTCAGGGAAGGCTTCCTGGAAGAGGTGAATGGGAACAGGGTCGTGGGTTGGGGAAGGGGACTCTGTCCCAGGGCCAGGCCTGAGGGAGAGGCCTAGGGAGACAGTCTGGGCTTGGGAGCCATGTCTCTACTGCCCAGTCCTCCCCAAACGAGGCAGCCTGTGAGACTCGCCCCTGCTGGCCCGATGGAGGAGGAGTGGCGTGGGCACCTCATCAGGAACTGAGAAGAAGGGGGCGGGGGTCAGGCTAAGCTCCTGCCTCAGCCTCACCCCTGCCCCCCCAACCCCCCCCCAGCAATTTGAGAACTGGCGCCCCAACCAGCCCGACAACTTCTTCGTCAACGGGGAGGACTGCGTGGTGATGATCTGGCATGAGAAGGGAGAGTGGAATGACGTGCCCTGCAATTACCACCTGCCCTTCACGTGTAAAAAGGGCACAGGTGAGCAGCCCCCGAGAGGCCCGGCCGGGGTGGAGTCAGGGCCTGAGGCTCCTGCTGGGGGGCCTGGGGCAAGGCTCCTGGTCTCCGGGCTGCTGATGTCCCCTCACCCACCCAGCAGGCAGACCGGCGCTGGGGGAGGGGGGGGCTCTCCCCGTGCATGTGTCCCGCAGCCAATGGCAAGAGCAGGCCCACTCCTAGGGAGGGTGAGGGTCCCAGGCTAGAGGACAGGCCGGCCCCTACGCACAGAGCCCCCGGGGCCCCCGCACAGAAGGTCACTCACGAGCACTGCCCTGCGTGGGGAGCCCCGCTCTCTCTGGGGCCCCCATGCGTGTCAGTTGTCAGGTCCCGATCCTCCGCGTGGAGTCTGTGGACGCGGAGGTGCTGGCCGAACACACCCTCCTATTCCTCTGCCCTGCCCAGACCTCCTCTCTGTCCCACTGTTTTCATAAAGAGGTCACAGACCATCTACCCGGCGCTCGCCCCTTTTCCCACGCTTCTCCCTCCCTGTTGTCTTTCCCTCAGCCCCTCGAGACCCTCCTTTCCCCGCCCCGCCGCCGCCATGCTGCTCTAAATCACGGAGGAACCCAGATGTTAGAACCTATGGTTCCCAGATGCTTAGCAGAGCGTGAAAATGGCCCTCTACCAGCAGCCAGGCCTCACGGCCGGCTGTCCAAGCACGGTGCCCCTTGCTTGGGCTCTGGGCTGTCTCACCACGGCCAGAGGGGGCCACACCGGCTCATCACGGGAGACCCTCTGAGAGCCCTTTCTCAAGGGTGTTTGCCCCTCAGTGGCCTGCGGAGACCCCCCTGTGGTGGAACACGCCAGGACCTTCGGGCAGAAGAAGGACCGGTACGAGATCAATTCTCTGGTGCGGTACCAGTGCACAGAGGGCTTCGTCCAGCGCCACGTGCCCACCATCCGGTGCCAGCCCAGCGGGCACTGGGAGGAGCCTCGGATCACCTGCACAGACCGTGAGCACCGCCCCTCCCCCAACCCTGGCTGGGCGCAGCATTAGATCCTGCACCAGGTCCTCCTTCCTGCTCCCGGAGCCCGGCAGTGGCTGGCCCTCTCCTGGGGGTCCTGAGCACCAGCTGTCTGCGCTATCCAGGGGCTCCCTCCCTCTCACTGCCCCCTGCCTTCAGGGAGGGCTCGCTCTCACTTTCCCTGAGAGGATGAAAGAAAAAGCAGGTGGCCGGCTTCTTCAAGACCAGCTCACAGCCCCTCGGCCCAAGTTGGGGCCAAGAAAAATCAAAACCAGAAAGCGGGTAAAGCCTCAGGTTGCCCTTCTTGAGCCCATGGTTTCTGCAGGGAAGGGGAGCCAGCTGAGGAGGGGCGAGTGGGGAGAGGCCAGGCTGCCCCAGCTTCCTTTGGAGCAAGCGGTCAAGATTTCCGGTCTCCCTTTCACCCCAGCCTCCACGTACAAGCGCAGACTACAGAAGCGGAGCCCACGGGCCCCACGGTGGAGCCGACCCAGCACAGCCCACTGAGAGCAGCTTCCAGAATGCGCCCAGGATCCTGAGCCCAGGAGCCTCGCCAGGCTGACGTCCATACGGACAGTGTCTTCTTCTTGTCGCTTTCTGTCATATAAGGAATTCCATTAAAGAAGGAAAAAACCAAATCCCACATTGTGTATGCACCTGCCCCCCGCCCCCCCAAATCGCCAACACTGCATCTGATTTCCCGCCCCCCCCCATGCCAAAGCAAAGCAAACGTATTGTAACCCGTGGACTGAGTCTAGAGACATTTCTTCAATCTCCCGTTGTGCCTTTCCAGGGACCAGTGCAGGGACAGGGGGAGAAGGGGAGGGGTTAAGTTAAATAAAGAAGATTATTTTTTGTTTCCTGACTTTATCCAAGAGCAGTGCAATGGTTGGTTCTTTCCCCTCCGGGGAGAGCTAGGGAGGAGGGAGGGAGGGGCCCGAAGAGCTGGGACCGGACCGGACTGCAGCTGAATGTATTGGATGAGGGGCCAGGAGGGCCGCACCGTCTGTGTGGGGGGAGAAGCCTGGGGGAGAGGGGGCGGGCTCCGCCGAGGATTGGGGGGCAGGAGAGAACCGCTGAGGGATCTTCTGCTGCGTGGGGGGTCGGGTTCCCTCCCAAGGTCCCTCTTCCAGCGTCCTCTCACCCAGGCTGCCACCCGAGCAGCTGTCCATCTCAGCAGGGCTGGGTGGGGGGGGGCACTTCCTTCCCAGCGGGAGCGCCGCCCCACCCCTCCCCCTCCCCCCACACCCCCGGGACGGTGCAGGCACCAGAGTTCCGTGCACCTATTTATATTTTTGAAAACTGAAGATTATGATAATTATAACAATAAAGACATTGGAAGAGATCTCTTTCTTTTCTTTTCCCTTTCTTTAATAAAAAAGAGAAGGCAACCAGCATCTGAGGTCTGCCAAAGGGGCTCCTAGGAATGGAGGGCAGGTGGGACATGTTTCCATCAAATGACCCCAAATTGGGTGACCCTTGTCTCTTCACAAAGCCTGGAACAGTCACACCTGTTGTACTTTATTTTTGTGAGGGTACCTGTGCGTTTGATGGACTGTGTGTGTGTGTGTGTGTGTGTGTGTCGGTCAATGGGTGTGGCGTGTGCATTTATTGTCAAAGGACAATTCAAATGAGGCATCTGCTTACTTTGCATAGTTTGGTTCTTTGATAGCACACTGCTCCCATAGGAGGTGCCTGGTAGAGTCAAGAGCAGAGGCAAAATCAGGATTTATAAGAGGCAAGAAAAACAGTTGCCGACAGCCTGGGAACAGTGACTCTTGCTTACACATAATTGTGGTTAGCTAGTTCGCTGGCCACTAGCCAAAAGGTCTGGGCATCCTGCCCTCAAGGGGGCTAGAGGGTATCGACGAAAACAATTTGGATTTCTTATGGATTCCCCCTACGAGACCTTGAGTGGGGCCAGGCGTGCATGGCAGGCACTGTCCCCTCACGAGCCTGCTCCTTAGGAGGCCAGGTGGGTGCCACCCTGCTCATCACAGTTGCTCAGTGGGCCCTCGCGTCTGTGTTGTGGGTGTGTCTGGGTGCTGGTTAGTGCGTGCAGCTGTGAGTTTGCTGGTATCTTTTTGGGTGTGTATATGTGTGGTCCAGTATTTGTTGGTGAATATAGACATGTGTCCAGATTACCTATGCGTCTGGAAACAAGTGGACGAAAGTAGAGAGGGTACAGTGATGTCACATAGCTCAAGAATTATGTAATAACGGATTAGTTGGGAGTACAACGATGTCTGTGGTTTTCAAACTGGAGCCTGCATCAGAATCAAGAGGGTTTGTGATAGCACAGAGTTTCTCCTGTGGCCGGTCTGGGGTGGGGCCCAGAAATGGGCAGTTCTAATAATCTCCCAGCGATGCTACCTGGCCACACTTTGAGAAGCACGGGCCCACGTGAAGAACGGACTCCATAACTGAGTGTGAGTGGCAGAGGTGTGCCTGAGCAGAGGCAGGCCTGCTTTCCTGAAGCTGGGGAGGGGGCAGGGGGCAGAGGGTGGGACACTGAGGGGGCTGGTCTCCGAGATCTTCAGGGGACGGTGGGGAAGGGCGCCTCCTCCCCTTCTGGGCCCACGCTGACACACAGCCTGGGAGCAGAGATGGTGCGAGAGCAGGTCGGAGCCCCCAGCTACTAGGCCAGCCCCGAGGCAGGGTGGGCCACACGACAGGCAAGCCAGAACCACGGGGCCTGAAGGTGCAGCCCCCAGAACTCCCTGAAATAGAACTGCTCCCCGCTCTCCCTGGAAAGGGAGCTGGGCCCCGGGACTGAACGAGGCAGAGAGCCAGACACAGGGATGGGGGGCGGTCACAGCACCATTTACGGTCCAAAGAAAGTACACACACCGGAGGGCCACTCCCTGAGCAGGGAAAAAGGAGAACAAAATACAGACTCTTTGGAGAGAGAAGGGAAAAACCGGGAGAGAAATTTCTCCCTTTCCTGGGACTTCACGCAGAAGCCTAGGGACCCGCTTCCAGCCCTAGCCCTCAGCTGCCCTGATCTGGGCCAGCAGCTCTGCAGAGGAGGAGGCAGGAGACCACAATGCCCAGCTCCAGGGCCCCCTGGACACCGCCCCCCACCCCGGGCTGAGGTGGAGGGGCAGGGACAGCCACCATGTGTCACTGGGAGACAGGGAGAGGGGCTGCGTTCAGTGACAGTAGAGAGCCCTTGTGAGCCCACGAACCTCCACTGGCCTCGAGGAGAGGGGCAGAGGGATTCCTGGAACGGGGGAGCCTTGGGGTGTCCACCCGAACAAAGGGAGGATTTGGAATATTGGATTTACCAAAAAAAAAAAAAGTAATTTAAAAAAATTTAACTTCGGAAGTATAAAAACAATACAAAAATTGCCCCAACCTGCAAGGGAAAATGAACCACTCAATAAATACAGCGCGAGAGGGGAGGCCCGGGACCCCTAGCGGGGACGGTAGCAGTATACGCCGTACTCCCGGCTCTGTGGGTCTGGGAAGCCGAAGCTTCGGACACCAGGCTCCGGGGGCCCGCAGTTGGGGCGCGGGTGAACCACAGGGTACCGGGCACTGCCATCCGCCAGCCAGCCGGCATCACAGCGGTCCAAGCCACGGAACTTCCAGGCAGCAAAGAGCTGGCCCACCTTGGCAATGTGGGCACCGTCTTCCCGGCAGGCCTCCTTTGCCTCTGCCAGGGTCAGCTTCTCAGGGTGCTCCAGGTAGTACACCTGCCCTGTGGGAAAGTGGGGTGTGAGGGCTGGCCAGCAGGGGGGGCAGCCAGGGAGGACAGTGGGGCCCGCAGAAACGCCCGCCCATCAGACCTCCCCAAACAGAGCGGGCAAGGACGAGCCCAGGGAGCCACCAGGCTGCGGGCACTTGCCATGCGTCCTTTGGGAACGTACCTTCCCAGTTCCAACCCCCTCTCTGAGGCTTCCATCCCACCTGCCAGAGGGCTGGGGTCCCTCCGGGCCTGTCTGTACTCCACCTCAGCGTTCCCTAACTGCACCCTGGGTGGGCACCCCGCCTAGTCTGCACCAATCAGAGTCTCTCGCCCACCCAGTCATTTACTGAGTCCCGGGGCGCCTGGCTGGCTCAGTTGGTGGAGCGTGCGACTCTAGATCTTGGGGTTGTGAGTTCGAGCCCCACGTTGGGTGTAGAGCTTACTTTAAAAAAAAATCATTTACTGAGTACCTACTATGTGCCAGGACACTTTTCTGAATGCTTGGGATGTGACAACGAACGAATTTCTGTTTTTATTTGTTTCTCTTCCCGTGAAGTGATCCTCTTCGTGAGGACAGACGGGGCTTGCTCTGTCTGTGATGCCCAGAACCTAGTGTCGGCCCCAGCCCGCAGTGGGCTCTCAACGAATGTCTGATGACCCAGTAAACCAGGGATTGTGGTGAAGCAGCAGTAAAGCACTCAGAACTCAGCCCAACGTGGCTTCCAGCCCTGCAGGTGCTCCAAACCTCCAGGTGAAGGTGCCGGTGGGACGAGCAGAGGGGTCCCGAAGCCCCCCAGATGCTGCCCACCCCCCAGGCCCGCGCGTGGCCAGCACACTCACCCCTGAGGGCGGGAGCGAAGCAGAAGGCATCATAGCGGCGAAGGCGGTGGTGACGGGGACCGTAGCTGCGCACCCCGGGAGCCAGGCCCAGGCCGCCGCAGGGCTGCCGGGCGCGCGCGATGGGGTACCGCACCGAGGCATCCTGCAGCCAGCCTGCGTTGCACCAGTCCAGGCCCTCCTCCCAGGCCCGGAACAACTGCTCGAAGGAGGCCACCACCGCGTCCTGCTCCGCACACGCCCGCTGGGCCTCGAGGAAGTTGAGCTGGTAGCGCCCCCAGGGGTGCTGGTAGGGAAAGACCACACCTGGAGAGGGAGGAAAGGGGGCCAGATGGGGTGGGCAGGGGCCCAGCGGGCTGGAGACCCCAGTCCCTGCCCCCCGCCCCACTGGGAAGGATGCTCCCCCCAACACACACACACACACACACACACACACACTCTCTCTCTCTCTCTCTCTCTCTCTCTCAGAGAAGCAAACCCGTCATCTCCCGTCCGGGTCCAAAACGGAGTCTACGTCTGTGAATTCGCAGGGCTGTTGTAAGAACCCCAGTGCCATGGTCTCAATGTGTCCCCCTAGTTCGTGTTGAAACCCCAAGGCCTCACGTGATGTTTTCAGGAGGTGGGGCCTTTGGGAGGTACTTAGGTCACGAGGGCGGCACTCTTGTGAAAGAGATCAGCGTCCCTCTCTAAGAGACCCCCACAGAGGTCGCTCACCCCTTCCATCACAGGAGGACACAGTCTTCTCACCTGACTACGTGGGCACCCTCCCATCCCTGTCATACCCGACATCAGGGAGGAGGAGTGTGACCCCTCTGGTGGCCGTCTGGGCCAGACAGGTGGATGCTGATAGTAGAGGTCCCTGACTTGCCTTTCATCCTCCTCTCCTCACAGGGAGGTGGAGGAGGCCCTCATCTCACACTGGAGGGGACGGGAGCTCCAAGGGGATGAGGCGGCCCCCCCAGGGCGCCAAGCAGGGACGGGGTGGGTGCAGACCCAGACCATGGTTCTCTGGGCGTCCCCGCTGCCTCCCTCGCAGGTGGGACAGGTATGAGAACACCCAGCCCGTCCTAGGGACAGAGAAGGTAACAGCCCCCCGAGATTGCCCACGGGAGCCCACACAAGGTGTGGCGTGTGCACTCTGGCTGGTTTGGACAACACTGAGTTGTGAGTGTTGCTTTTTGTTTTTCATTAGAAGATTTTTACAGAAAAGTCCAGAGAGGTCACATAAAAGTATATGCTTCTCTTGTCAAGTCAGAAAACCTGACTGTGTGGGGTCTGCTTCTGGGCCTGAGCAGGGCACTCCTTTGGGACGGGACGAGGGCTCAGCCGCGTGCCCCGTGCCCACCCCTTCTGCCCCTCACACCAGGCGGCCTCCTTGGTCTGTACTGTCTACGACCTGCTGGAGTCTCAGCTCCTGTTTTCCTCTAAGGTGTGAGCCAGAGGCAGTAGTGGGTTCTGGAGCCAGACTGCCTGGGGGTCAAACTCCTACTCGGCCATTTATGGGCAGTGTGACCTTAGGGAAGTTACTTGACCTCCCTGTGCCTCTGTTTCCTCATCTGTAAAATGGGGGCGATGATAGCGATAGCTTCCCCGTGGGGTGGTTTCAAGGTCCGCATGGCTGCCTAAAGCACAGAGTTCTAGATGGTTTCTCGGGGCCCTCTCCCTGTGGCCCGGGCCCTCGCGTCCCCCCCCCCGCCCACTGGGGCCTCACCCCGCAGCTCCAGCTCCACCAGGCCACTTTCGTCCTCCAGCCCGTCAATGACCTCACAGCGATAACGCCCAGAGTCCTCCAGCCGCAGGTCCCGGATCTGCAGCGACACTTCGCGCTCCCCGTCCTGCCGCAGGCGCACCCGGCCTCGGTAGTCTCCGAAGGAGCGGTGCCTCAGCCCGATGGCCACCAGCACATCCTGCTCCGGGGCCCCATTCTCTGACAGCTTCCACCATTTGACGCGCACGGGCCTCAGGGATAGCAGGGCCGGCTCGTAGTGGTAGCGGCAGGGCAGGGTCACGTTGGCCCCCCGGTGGGAAAACAGGGTCTCCTCCGGTGTCTCTACCACCAGCTTCACCCCATTGAAGACGCCTGGGAGAGATGTGGGTGCCAATGGGGACTTGCTCCAGTGCATCCGTGCCCCTGCAAGGACCACCCCCAGCCTCGGGAGTTACACCTTGCAAGGATGGCCATAATGAGGGCACCCCTCCCCGTACCCACACGCTCTGCACTGTGACTTTGCATCTCCTATCAGGAGGGGACGCTATTCCCCTCCGCCTTGAATCCATGTTGGCCCTGCCACTTCTCTGACCAAATGAACGTGACAGAAGTGACGATTCTTCTGTGCCTGCTCGGAGTCTGGGTCCACTCTTTCCCGGGACCTTGCCAGCCCCCGCGACAACAAGCCCAGGCGCACCTGCTAGGGAAGGAGAGCCCACGGGGAGCAGAGACAAGCCCTCACAGCTGGGGCCAACTGAAGCCAACCAGCCCCAGGCGACCTATCCTGCCGATTGCAGGCACAGTCAACTTAGACTCCTGGAGGTACACAGGGTGGGGGAGGAGGGTGAGCAGGACATAGGAGGCCCCCTGCAGAGGCTCTCATGCTGAAAAAGCCAGTGGTTCTGGTGCAGTGGTTCTCAGAGGGGGGATCCCTGAGCCAGCAGCAGCAGCAGCACTGGGAACTCGGTGGAAATGCAAACCCCCAGGCCCCACCCCAGACCTCCTCTGGGGGTAAGGCCCTGAGATCAGTGTTTTAACAGCTCTCCAGGTGACCTTGCCGGGCACTGAAGTTGGAGAAGGCTGCTCTAGGACCGGCAGTAGGCACAAAGTTTGGGGACCACAGGCCTGGGGTCAGATAAGCTGGAATCTCGGCTCCAACCTTCCACAAGTCTAGTCCCGTCTAGAGAAATCAGCTGACTCTCCAAACCACTTTCCTTATTTGTAGAATGGGATCACACCGGCAGCTACAATGGGCTGTGCGGAGGCTCAAATCAGGGAAGGTGGGACGTCTGGAAAAAGCTCAGCAGACGTGAGGCAAGCCTATCAAGTAGTGGCTACTACGTCCTTTGCTTTCCCCCGATGCTTTAGTAAAGCTGTGTTTGAAGCTTTCACCTGAAGACACTGAGAATGTTGGGCTAAATCATAATGCCTCCATGTGACAAAACACTACACAGCCGAGTAAAATAACCTGGCAGCTAGATATCTACTCATTGATCTTGGAAAAAAATTGTGTTCTATGAAGTGACAGGGAGATTCCCAAACCACATGTAGAGCAGGAGGTGAAAGACAATTTTCCCAATCCTCTGTCAAAGGCTGGAGGGACCCACCTGACAGGTTAGCAATGGTTCCCCAGGTGGGGGGATTATTTGTGATTTTGCTCGCACATATGCAGGGACTAAAGGGAAACTGGTGAAATCATGGGTAGAAAGTTCAAGTTTTTAAGTTTCCTTGAAACTCATTAAAGTCGTGATTGTCTAGGGGCGCCTGGGTGGCTCAGTCGTTAAACGTCTGCCTTCGGCTCAGGTCACGATCCCAGGATCCTGGGATCGAGCCCCGCATCAGGCTCCCTGCTCAGCAGGAAGCCTGCTTCTCCCTCTCCCACTCCCCCTGCTTGTGTTCCCTCTCTCACTGTGTCTCTCTCTGTCAAATGAATAAATAAAAACTTTAAAAAATAAATAAAAAATAAAGTCATGATTGTCTAACAAAATAAATTCTGGGGGACAAGGAAGGTGGAGAGCCAAATAATGGCGCCCCGAAGAGAGCCAGGTCCTAATTCCTGACACCTGTGAAAGTTGGCTTCTACAGCAGAGAGAGGAGACTGAATTAAGGATTGCAGTCACATGTATCTTCTTAGAAGGGGGCCGAGGGAGATGTGACCCTGGAGGCAGAGATTGGAGCAACACGGCCTCAAGCTCAGGTCCGTCAGCAGCCATCGGACACGGGGAGAGGCAAGGAACGCATTCTCCCCGAGAACCTCAAGGAGGCTCCTGTCATGATGAGGGGGAAGGCTGGGTCCTCAGTCCTGCCACAGACAAATCTCAGCGCGGATTCTTAGGATCTGTGTGCCCTGGGAGGTTGGCTCAACTCTGTGAGCCTCGGTTTCCTCATCTATGAAATGAAATAATCCGCAGTGTCTGCTTTCAGGGCTGCAAGGCACCCGGCATCAGCGTGGCCTGCTGGGTGCCCTCGTTGGGCTGGCTGTTAACCTTGCCTGTATGTATGCCAGGGTTTTGGTGAGGGTTGTAAGAGACAACGTACGGAAGGCACCGAGAAGCGTACCTGATGCACAGTAGGTGGGCAACTGCTAACTAAAAAGTCACCCGCCCAGAGGTGCCTGGGTGGCTGTCAGTTAAGCATCCGACTCCTGATTTCGGCTCAGGTCGTGATCTCAGCATCGTGAGATCAAGCCCTGTGTCGGGCTCTATGCTGAGCAAGGAGCCTGCTTAAGATTCTCTCTCTCCCTCTGCCCTTCCCCCCGGCCCAAAAAAAGTCACCTGCCCCAAGCCATGTAGCTACTAAATGGCAAAATTAAGATTCAAACTCATATCTGTCTAATCTCAAACCTCCTTTCCACTGGGGGCACTGGGGGAGGTCACACTTAAGATCGTGGAAAACTGGCAGGACTTTGGGAGCCTCCTTAAGTGCACAGGTGATCCAGCTCCAACGCACTCCAAGCCCGAGAGACTAGCAAACACAGAGTAACTGAGCCATCCCTTGCACTCCTCTTAGAAATGAGCCTGGTCTGCTGCAAGGGTCCAGAGAGGGAAGGGGCTTCTGGCTCCACGCCCTGTCCCCTGTCGTGGCCTGGAGACTGCATGTCACAGCAGGAGCCAGGAGAGGTCCTGGGCACCCAGCGGAGCATAGAGCCAGAGCCAGGAGGCTGCCCACCTTCGCCGTGGCCATTGCCCGGGTTCCAGCCGTTGGGATTGTTGGAGTAGTAGAAGCCATTGTAGAAAGGCAGGCCCGAGACGCAGGGCAGCAGGTACAGCAGGACCAGGGGCAGCGGGCCCATGGCGCTAGGCACGGCTGCAGTCCCAGGCAGGCTGGGAAGAGAAGAAAAACAAGCCAATGAGAGAAGCCTGCTGCATGGGGGGCCGGGGGCCCCTGGGTTCCAGCACCCACTCGCTCACTCGCTCAGCAGGTAATTACGGAGCATCTTCTGCCCGGCAGTTCCTGTTCTCAGAGCCGAGAAGACCGAGAGCAGAGGGGAGCGAGTCCAGGTCCCTGCCCTCAGGGGACTGCACCCCACAGGCAAGCTGGGCCAGAAGCAAGCCAACAAAGCCTAGGGAGGAGTCAGGAGGAGGCATGAAGTCTGAGGAGAAAATTACTCAGGGAGATAGGACAGTATCGACAGTTTTCAGACGGCACGTTTGAATTTGAAAGATTGTGAGCAGCATTTTTTTAAGGACACCGAAGGGCCTAGACTAGACTAGAAAATCTCAGGGTGTATTCATGGTTAGTGAGAGGAATCCTGCATTGTCAAGCTTTTGTTTCAGTCCCGAGAGGTCTGCGGGGGGAGGGGGCGGAGGGGGGAGTGGGAGGTCACAGATTTTTTTTTTAAAGATTTTATTTATTTATTTGAGAGAGAGAGAGAATGAGAGATAGCACGAGAGGGAAGAGGGTCAGAGGGAGAAGCAGACTCCCTGCTGAGCAGGGAGCCCGACATGGGACTCGATCCTGGGACTCCAGGATCATGACCTGAGCCGAAGGCAGTCGCTTAACCAACTGAGCCACCCAGGCGCCCCGGTCACAGATTTCTTATCCTGAGTCAAGGTCAAAATAGGCAGCTAGCCCTTGGGCTGTAGTTTTGTTTGTTTGTTGTTTTTTTTTAAATATTGCATTTAAATACATCCTGATGATCGAGGTTTTTTTTGGTGCACACACACCCTCCTCCCCTGGTGTATTTTGCACCCAAGGCTAATGACTCATTCACCATCCCCGCATCTTCCCCAGCCCTCTGCTCATTGCCATTTGCTGAGCGCTTAATGATTTAAAAGACAGGCAGCCTTAGAGGAACTCGGTGCCGAGTCACGATGCCCTGTGGGGAGTACAGAGGTGGGGTAGAGAAAAGGGGCAGGTAAACGAGACTGAAGACACAGGAGTTAGCCAGGTGGAAAGGACACTGGGGTGTGCCCAGCAGGGGCCCGGCAAACGCAAAGGCCCAGAAGCCAAAGAGCACGTGGGGGGCTGGGAATGTGCTGGAAGTTCTCCATTTGTGCTTTCTCTGCCCTGATCCCTCTTGGCTTCTCCCAGTGCCCTGGCCTCTGGCTTCCAGCAGGATTCGGCCAACGGGAGGCGCCCACAGGAGATGGGCAGGAGGAAGGAGAAGCAGTGTCTCTGCGGCACCGTGTCCCCTTGTGACCACAACCCTGCTTCTGGCTCCTCTCCCCAGCACCTGCTCTCCTGGGCTGTGTGACACTGTTTCCTTTCCTGCCCACCCCCCAGGCCTGGGGGGAGCGACTGCCATTGCTTATCTCTCTGTCTTCTCCCCTGTGCATTGCCCCGCATCCCCGCTCTAGAAGCCAGCCACTCCTTCCTTAGTAGAGTCTCTTTGCTGGAACCACCGAGGGTGAAGTCTTCCTGCCAAAACCCTGGCTGATGCAGGGGGAGGCGGTGAGAGGGGTCAGCAGGCCCAGCGTCTAGATGCCCTTGGGTCTCCAGCCCAGGCTTTTCCCTCTCTCCTTTGTCCCAAAGGCCCTGGGGTGCCAGTGGAGCCACAGGATCAGAAGAGCCAGTCAGAAACACCCCTCCAGGGGCTGCATTGAAGGGGACGGTGGGGCAGCAAGGCCAGGGCACAGCGGGCACCTAGATGGAAATATGACTGTGATTATCACGCAGCAACGTGGAAACACGCTTAGGGTGTAATTTAAAATGGACAAAGCAGAACATGAGAATTGCCCCTTTGCTATGATTGTAAGGCTGTGGCCCGGTGAATGCCTGCTGTATGGAAACCAGAATGGGAGAGAACAGCAAAAAGTGACTGGGAGGGAGGGAGGAGGGTGGGGAGAAAGGAGGGCAGGGGAAAAGAAAAGAAGGGGGCGCCTGGGTGGCTCAGTCTGTTAAGCGTCTGACTGGCTCAGGTCGTGATCTTGGGGTCCTGGGATCGAGCCCTGCATCCGGCTCTGGCTAGGCAGGGGGGTCCGCTTGTCACTCTCCCTCTACCCATCCCCCCCCCCCGGCTCATGCTATCAATGAATAAAATCTTTAAAAAGAAAAAGGAGAAGAAAGCATGGAATCTATAAGGAAGGGTGGTGGGATTGAGCAGGGAACATTATTTCCAGAACAGTTAGGAGCCCTTGCTGGGGAGGAAGGAGCAGTTGTGGAGGAAGCTGACAGGTAGAACCCACTGATCTCCTAGACCCCTTTGCAGAGACCCTGAGGCCCAGAGCCGCCCTCTGTGCTGAGCACTGCAGTAGGACACTGTCCTGAGGTCTCGCTTCTTGTCCAAGAGGAGTCCCCAGGAGATACCCGTAAAGCCCCCGGGGACTTGGATCTGGGCAGCCCCACCAGGCAGCACAATCTGCAACCTAATACAGAAGTTCGGGGGTAGGAGGATCTGGGTTCAAACCCCATCTCCACTCCTTACAAGCTGTGTGATTCCAGGCAGGTTTCCTCAGTTGTGAAATGAATTCATTAAACTCACCATGACCTCTGTTTCACCCATGTGTTCTACTTCTCTCCTACAGTAACATAGTTCTAGAGAGGTGCATGGCCAGTCAGCAGAAAGCTATAATTCCAGCCTCCCTCTGCAGGGAGGAGGGGTCCTGGAACTCCGTGCTGCACAATGGCAGTGAGCGAAATAAGACGTTCCCCATGCAGCTCTTGGGTTAAAACAGTTAGGGATGCCGTTTCCTGGTATTCTTTCCCTCCACCTGCTGGCGACCAGAGGTGCCACCATAGTCTCAGAGATGTAAATCATGGGTTGAATGACAGAGCCAGGTCCACCAGCCCTGGACCTCCCCCATCTGCCCCGTGTCATGAGAGAAACAAAGTCCTAACGTATTTAGGCCACCCCATTTTGAGTCTCTTTGTGAACCCAGCTGAGCCTCACTTGGACTGCTCTCACTGGCATAAAAATAGGAACAGCTCAGTTTAATGAGCCCTTACTATCTCATTTACTCCTGATCACAGCCCCTAGAGGTGGAACCTCTTAGTATCCTCACTTACAGCTGGGAAGACCAAGGCACAGAGAGATTAAATCATCAGTCCAAGGTCATCCAGCGAGGACATGGCAAAGTTGGGATCTGAACCCACTCCAGCTCCAAAGCCATGTCAAACTCAGGGAGGTGACGTGTGCAGAGCACACAGCTCAGAGCCTGGCACACAGCAGGCCCTCCTCGGAGAGTTTCCTTTCCCTTCCTTGAGGGTCCCACGTCTGGAACCAGGAAGGAAGTGGAATGAGAACCAAGAGGCTGTTGATACTGAGCTGGATGTCACAGGCCCCACCGTGTCCCTGGGCACCGGCAGCCTCTGCCAGCGTAGGGCTCGCCAGCCCCCGTCTGCCGTGTGCCCTGCCTCCTCACAGCAGCTCATCAGGCCCAGATGCCCTCGAGTGAGAAAGGGCTTCCCTGGGATGAGCAAATGGAGGTGTTTCTGTCACAAGGTGATACTTGAGTGCCTGAAAAAGATGCAAATTTTTGCATCAGAGACTAACAAGTGAGGGGAAAAATAAGGCTGGGGCAGATTCCTCAAAACATATGCAGCTTTGCAACCAGACTGTTAACAAAACCAGGAAGAGTCCTAATAAAAAAACACCAGCACCATGAACTCTCCACTGACCTTGGCACCCAACACCCTGTCAATCTACCCTTTGCAGCCTTCACCATCTGGGCAAGGGCTTCCTCCTTTGAGATGTAGGTTTTCGGCGGCCTTGGATTTCAGGAGAAACCAGATTTGCCAAAATTAAGAATCTGACCCAGGGTGGAGCCATCTTCTTTCTTTTTTTTTTTTTTTTTAACTCAAGGGAAATGGCTTTGCAACTTCACCATATGATTCCTACGCTTGGCAGAAAACTTTATGTGAAGCTGCCATTTAGGCACCCCCATCTCCCCAAATCCATTGCATCCTTGAGATGGTACAAGTTTGGATCTTGAGAGGTGGGACAATTTGGTAGGAAGGGATGCTGCATTGTCCAAATCTATTTGGTTCCTGAGTCTTGAACACTGAACAGCAAAGAGCCTGGATAGTGAGAGATATTCGTATGGATACTTTTCTGCAGGACTGTCAGCATTTATCTTAAGGAATCCCTAGCTTGCTAAAGCTTGCTCTTTGCTTGGGAGAAATCCTGTTGTAGTCGCTCCAATATGTCAGCATGTTGAGAAAAATCACCACTGGACCAATGTCATTCCATGACACACTGACTTCAGTCCCCCCACTGTTCTCACCAATCGTGGATGAGGTCATTCATCGTTCAGAAACATGCACTGAGGCAGGAAAGACTGTAGCACCTTCTGGGTCCTCCAGCGAGCTCCTAGGCACCCCTTCCCAGCCTCTGAGACCCCAGCACACATTCACTCGGTTTTAAAGGGCTGCCATGTCCAGCGGCTCCCCCGACCCTTCCAAAAACTCCCCAACCCAGTCAGAAAGAATTTTACTCTCCCCAATTAATCCACAGGTAAACAGAGGCACAAAGACATGAAGCAACTGTCCGAAGGTCATGTGGCCGAGACAGCAGAGGCAGGACTCGACTCTACAGATCCCATAAGGATCTGTCACATAGAAGGACTGCCTTCCACTCAACAGTGCACTTGCACGGATGTCATTGTGGGTTTCACAATGTCAATTTTTATCCCCCTTGTACAGAGAAGGAAACGGAAGTTCAGAAATGCTAAGTTGCAGGGCGCCTGGGTGGCTCAGTCAGTTGGGCGTCCGACCCTCAGTTTCGGCTCAGGCTGTGACCTTGGAGTCATGGGATGGAGCCCCAGTCCGGCTCCGCGCTCACCGGGGAGTCTGCTTGAGGTTCCCACCCTCTGCCCCTCCCCCCACTCATGCACATGCACAGGCACGCCCCCC